GCACCAACCCTGGCACGCCCTTCAACACCTCCATCTTCATACGGGAAGAGATCGAGGAAAAAAAGTTACTAAATCCCCTGCCTCCTTCTCGACGGAAGGCCACAATCGCATCCTCGCGTTGTTGCCGTGGCAAATTTAGTGGAATACCGCATAAGGGTCCGAACGACGCGCCCACCACCACTGCTCCCTGCTTCTTTAAAAGGTATTCGATGGTGTTGAGTGTGGCGTTGGAGTCGGTGGTTTCCCCCAAAATGTTCTGCGGATCCACCAGGACAAAAAACTTCTTGTTTTTGAGCGGCCAGATGTCGTACACGGCACGCTTCGACCCCAAAACTGCAACGGACATCAATGTACCCTTTTTAACGGTGAATATATTGTTATATACTTACACCTCAAGTATTTTTTTTTTCTTTTTTCCTTTTTTTTTTCGCTGTCTCCTTCACAAGTATTACTTTTATTATTTTTTTTTTTTTTGTGTGTGTATTTATTTATTCCGCGGCAAAAAAAATGTGTGCCCCTCCGTTTTATTTTGATTTCCCGCTGATCCTCCCACTTTGGACACCCCAAAATTCACCGCAGTTCCTCTGGCTGGCCGTGGCGGCGGTGGGGAAGCGCAAGAACAGCGAGAGGAAGGGGACGGGAGCAAAACGTGAGGAAAACAAACGCCCCGCGGAGAGAAAAAATAAATAAATAAATAAATAATAATTGAAAACAAAATGTGTGCGTGTGTGAATGCGGGGAGAAGCAAACAAATGAGGATAAACAAATACAATAAAAACACCAACACAACGACAAACAAACAAACATAAAAAAAAAAATAAAAAAAACACAACACCGTCTTTTTAGTTTACTCGCTATTTCGGTGATGTCGTCGCGCCGTTTTGGCTCGTAACTTCTTCACGGTCATGTGATCAAAATATTGTGCGGTAAACTCGTCCGGGCCTCATCATGGCCATCCCTCCTCTTCCGCTTCCCTTTTTTTTTTTTGTTTTGTTTTCCCCTTCACTGCGGCGAAGGGGCGGGAATGAAGCCTATATATATATATATATATATATATATATATAGTTAATTTTTTTTTTTTTAAGAAAAATCAAGAATTTCTCACTGGCTAAATACGGCCGCTGCGGGCGCACACAGACCAAAGACAGATTCTCTTTCACGTCCCTATGAATTTAAAGAAGAAGGACGACCAAACAAGGAACAAAATAAACACACATTTTGGCCATTTCCGTTATTATCTATTTTGTTTCCATTGGCAATGAGAACGAAAGCATCTACTTCATTCTCCATACCAGCGTGCTTCCTCCGCCCCTCCACTCCCCCCACCTTTTTTTTTTTTTTTCTTCTTTTCACCACCTCTACTCACTCGTCTAAAAAACGGATGCCCCACACAGGGATCCACGGGTATATAAATAAATATATACCACACAATAATCAAATCGGACGAAAAAGAAAAAAAAAAAAAAACAACCATCGGAGGCACATGTACAAAAACAAAAGACAAAAAAAGAAAAGTGCATCACAAAGTTATATAAACGACAATCCCCCATGGTCGTGATTCTGATTAAAGTTAGTTAAAATCCCACGGGGTTTGAAAAACCTCGGTTGCTGCTATGATGCCTGTGGTGTTACCCCTACAGCTGCAGCCATCGCTTCCTCTACAGCACACCAATTTCCACCCACCCGTCGAAGCAATTCCAAACCTTCTTCTGGGGCCAATCCAAACCGGTTACCTATACGGCACACCTGAATACTCTCTAGTATATTCTCTCCTGCTAGTGTGGCACAGTGCTCATACATGCTCAGCGGCACACCTCCAATGTCGTTGAGCACAGTTATTAGTTCTGCATCATTGCTCACATGTTGACTCAATGCCAACACCACCTCCAATGGTACATTCTTTTTTCTGCCAAGTACCTCAGCACGACTGCGATCTTCTCTGGGACTAAAAAGAATACGGCACTCACTCAAGCTTATTTGAGTACTAGCGTTAGCATCACCCTTCGTTGACGGACTCGCTGCGTCCCCTGGAAATGGGTACAGTGACACCATATCGTTCGTTATTAACCAACGACCAGCATCATTTTGCTGAACGGAAATTACGCGTGAGAAGTTGCGATAAATAACCACTCGATCGTTGCTTGACTGATTTTGTGGGCTGAGATGGGTCCACGCCATCACACCATGCAGCGTTACCACCGTCACTGGCACCTTCATTATCGCGGGTGATGGACCAGAAAGATACGTATTGTCCAAGAAAGAGGCGCTTGCACTGCTGTGCACAAAATGTTCTACCAAAAAATTTTTTGGATACAACCAATGCTCCAGTTGTGAGCATACTTTTGTTCGCCCACACGCCACAACACTTGACTTCACGCCGTGTAGTAGGTTGTGGTTACTTTCAGTCTGTTTGAGACGGAAACTAACAATTTCACGAACAACATTGCGCTGTGTACCTCCCACCGGAGAGCTTTTGACAGTCCGTGCCGGAGTACTTACCGCGGCCTCTGGCGACGAGAGGGAAATACTCAGAATGGCTTTCTGGGCATAAAAATCGGATACCGCATCCACACCTTGTGGAACTCCCGCTGCATCCCCTGCCTGCAGTGGATTCAACAATGAGCACTGCACAAACTGAAGCACATGCTGCTGTGCGTCTGTGTAATCTGAATTTGTAAACCGTGGCCATGGCAGTAACAGTGGTGGCGCCATGATGGCTTCCCCATCCAGTCCGAGGAGAAACGGCATGGCTTTCTTCACCTCCGCGCGGTAGTCGTCACGCCTGGCCACGGCATTACCCACAAGAACCAACTCTTGCAAATTGCTGAACTTTTTAATTCCTTGAAGTGCCTCCATTGTCTTGATATCATTTGCCTCTAGTGAAAGTGCCCGCAACGACAAGTGCAGACCTGCATTTTCCATCTGTGAGGCAAAATGAAAAAAAGAAGTGATGTCATTTCCCTTTAACTGCATGGCAGATGGCGGTGGGACAATGAGTGATTTTATTGACGAGCAGAGTGCGCGACAGAAGCTCTGTGTATTAAAGTTGATGGAGTTTGAAACATCCTTCAGGTCGGGAAATTTTCGCAGCTCGCTCAGGTCCAACATCCCTGACGACGCGTCATACACACGGTGTTGTTGCTTCTCAAAGACCAACTTCAGCATCGTTGACAGCAAATTCGTCGCAGCGTCTGTGGAGCCGTTGCCGATCGGTGCCGCATCTGCATTCTCACCCAACTCCTTCCCACGCACGTGCAAGTATGGACAGCGCTGATTCGTACACGCACCCCTCTTGAAGTAAATGCAAGGCACGTTTTGTGTGTTCTTCTTCTTGTATGGAGCTGACATGTCCCCAGGAGCCACGGACAGGGAGACAAACACGGACACACGGACAAAAACACACAAGAAAACAACAACAACAACAACAACAACAAGGAAACAGCGACCAAGAGAAAGGCACAAATCAAAATAATAAACGCGTCTAATTATTTTTTAATCTTCTCTTAAGATGACGATGTGTCTCTGCTCGCCTCTCGCAGAGAAATCCCTCTCTCCTCCTCCACCCGAAAAAAAAAAAAAGGAATTTGTTTTCTCCTTCTTTTTTTTGCTTGTTTGTTTGAGTATCAAAAACAACAAAAACAAACAACAACAACACACGCACACCAAAAAAAAAAAGTACCTGCGCCCACCGGCTTGCACGGACGCTGCAAGTACAAGGACCTAAAAATGCACTGAAAAGACGCAAAAAAAAAAAGGCCAAAAAAAAAATTGGGATGAAAAAAGAAACAAAGATGCAGGCAAGGCAACAGAGAAATATATAAACATATATTTAATGAAATTAAGAGCGATGATGACACAAAGCGGGGGGGCAACGGGACTTCTTTTATTGCCCTTTTTTTCTTCTTCCCCTCCTTCACAGTCATCTCGGGGGCCTCCGCAGCCCAAAGTGCGCCTGCATTTTTATTCAATGGTAAAACTCACCCACACAAAAAGTTAATTATCATCCGCTATGATTTTTGTCCGCGTTTCCTGTCTTTTCTGTTCCGGGCCGTTGTTGAACGCTCCCCCTCCTCACCGCACCCTCCACCAGAAGGACAGGAACGCAGACAACTACACACACACAAAAAAAAAAAAAAAAAAGAAGAGAAGACAAGCCTCTTACCTCATCTGGAGAAAGAAATCATTAAAATTACGCTTACAACTTCACTGTTCCCTATTCACCTTCTTCTTCTTTCCGTTACTGGGCAAACTGGATATTTATCTCCATGTATGAGCACGGAAAGGGAATATCATACGCCCGTAGTGTGTTCGGGTGGACAACACCGAAGCCTCCTAGGCACACTTTTTGATCCTTGCGGTGCAAGAAAATATCCATGCACCTTCCAGGGAAAAAGGCACCATCAGTTCCTCTTTCCAATGTGTATGTGTCTTCTTCAGCCTCGGCGTTCTGTTCTCCCTTTCGCGAAATGCTAAGTTTTTTCATGATAAATTCAACCAAGCCATGAATGTCTTCAAAGCCACTGTTTTCACTACAGCAATGCAGGGCCGCAACATGACGTTGGTTGCATGCGCCACAATTTGGGTATTCGGAATGTGGCCGGATAAGAGGCGGAAAGTTCTTCTCATTGTCTATGAGCACCACATCTGAACATTCAAAGAAGCGCAACGGCAATGGATGCGACTTGTTTGCATTGAGTGTTTTGAGAATACCTGGCATCAGGGATGGACGACAGATTTGGAATTCCATCGTTCGTGGGTTGGCGATGTGCACTGCAACATCGTCATCCTCACGGTTCAGATGAGCAAATGCCTCATCGCGGGAGCACAAAGAAAACGTTAAAAGTTCGGTGTATCCTGCATTTGCCATCTCAATCCGCAATAAATGAGACAACTTACTGAGTGGCTGCTGTGTCACTTTACCTCGAGTGGTGCATTCAACATATTTGATGTTATCATAACCATAGGCAATGGCAACATCTTCCATGAGATCCGTTGGCCCAAGCACATCTGGTCGGGTCGCAGGAACCTCAACGAAGATGTTGTCACCCTCCATCTTGGCAACGCGATGCAGCATACGCTCGAGAAGTTGACCACAGTGCTGCGGAGAGTCCAACTTGATGCCGATTAGCCGTTCCACCTTTGGAATATATACGGGTATGACAGCAGGGTCCAAGTTGGGCGTCACTTCCACTTTCGTGCCGTCCGGTGTCGCTTCCTCATATTCCACCCGCACCGCTTCGACCGTAAAGGGCTCTTCACAATACGTTGAGAAGGCACACACGATCTGGTTCACCAGTACATTTGCCTTGTAGTGATCGGGTGCGGTGCATTCTATGAAGATGTTTTTGGTCTCCTGACTGATGCATGAAAAATCAGAGTTAATGATGGGTGGAAGTGAGAGGATGCTTTGTTTCTCACGGTCCATGATAACTGGATAATGGCTAAGGCCCGAAATGAGCGGGACATACTTCGAGATTTGTCGATCGTCCTTGTAGAACTCTGCTAGACCGTCTCCGGCGCAATCGAGCATGCGACCGCGTTGGTTCAGTGGAACAAAGCGAATGGATTCCCTTGATTTTAAGGTGTAAATGAAGTTGTTGTCCCCAATCTTGTCCAGGTCGTGTGTTCCCACAGAGGCCAGGGTGCGACGACGGGCGAGTCCAGAGTGCAGTTTCTCCTGGAAGTCAATGAAGCTGCGGTAGCTGCGCTCGTTAAGGCAGATGTTCTTTAGCACGGCGCAGACAACATAGTCACGGACATTCCGCACGGATTTATCCACGGTCATCCTGTACAATGGGCTGCATCGGTTCAGCACCTTGAAAGCGGGAGCCCGCATCAACCCGAGAAACACATTCAGCGCCACTGCCATTCCCTCCGCACACTGCAGGTCGTAGCGGTTGGCGGGGGTGTCAATCTTGTAAATAACCTCGTCGGAGAGTTCTTCCAAATTCGCGCCCCCTACCATCCCCTGTTCACGGCTGAACATCTCGCGTTCACTTGTGACATCGTCAAGTTCAACCCCAAACTTAAAGCACACATCTTCAAACTGCTCCTCCGTGTAATTTTTCCCCATGAGGTGAAACAGGTAATCGCGTGCAACGGCAAGAGTTGGCATGATGTCACCTTCCCGCCTTTATTCTTTTTATTCGGTCTGTTTTCCCCCGCAAACACACACTTTAATTTTTATTAGATGTATGCGTGTGTTTCCTTTGTATTTTATTATCTTTTCTTTCTTATTGAATGCCCCCTTCTTTGTCGGTTTTTTCTTCCTCTCGCTAATTCCTCCTCTTCCTTTGTACGGAAAGCCAATGGTAACAAGGACGGCAGCATTCGTGGGTGTATTCAGAGACGAAAGGGGGAGGTGGAAGGTGGGAATACAGCAAGAAATGGACGGGCAGTCTTCATCACATTTAGCCCTCGGGCGGCTCTCCTCACGTTTTCGTGCGCTCCTTTCATAGAGAGCAACAAAAACGACAAAACACATACACACATAAACACCATTACACGCAGCACACATACACACATCACAGCACACATTCCAAAGCGAGGTGGGGGCTCCCTGATGCCTTCACCCCATCACTCACTCCCTCAGGCTCTCTCATACCACCTTTTTATTTCCTTTTTCATCTTCTATGGGTGTGTTTCAGCGAGTGCCTTGTTCCCTTCTCTTGTATAACTGGGGAAAGAAATCATTTTTGCCTTTTCATTTGTATTAGTTCGTGAATGCGGCTGCGTATGGCATCCTTCTCCGTGTCTACACAATTAGACACAGAAGCCGCTCCCGTACCGAGCTCCCGGCGTTTCGCCTCTGCTGCAACGGTGCGGTTCTGGAACTGTTCAATGCGCCGGAGAGGGTCATGTCGTTCCTTCTGCAATTTGTCCAATTCCTTCCGCAATTGCGCTGCGTTACTCGTTGAAATAAACCCTGTCACGGCCTTCTTACCCTCCCTTGGCCCATCCACAGCACTGCCGTCACCACCCACCGGTAGGCCAGCAGCATCTTCACGCCCTCGTTTGCGTCCCTCCGTTTTTTCATCGCCGTCGTGTTCTGTGTTCTCCTTCTTGAAGGCGAGCGCACCACTCCTCACGAGAGGCGTTGCAATGCTCGCCAATTCATCCTTAACAGGCGGGGCGGAACTGCTGGCGTTCGCTTTTTTCCCTTCAGCAGCAAATATATTCTCCACCTGACGGAACTTTGCTAGCTGGCCGCTAACGCTATCGGCAGAGGCCGCGAGGATGAGATCGTCATACCGGCGCTGCTCCTGGTCATGCCTCAGTTCTTCTTTACGCTCTTTGGCCGACTTCTTCTTTGCCTCCTCCTCCTGCTGTCGTTGCTCCACTTTGCTCAGGTTGCGGTACGTCAGCGGGTGAAAGCTCTTGTGGCGATTGATATCCTTTTTGTGCGCAGCGTACATTTTGCCGCCGCACCACACGCCCAAAAAAAAAAAAAAAACTAAAAAAAAATCTTTGCGTGTGACTGAGAGTAAAAGAAAAAAAAAAAAAACACCTAAAATGGAGCAAAGACAGAAGTAAAAAAAAAAAAAAAGACCAGGATGCCAGCGGCAGCAGCAACAATAATTGGAAAGGTAAAAAAACAACAACATATGAATGTAATATGACGCCTACACACATCATACAGGTTGGAGAATAAATAAATTTCCAAGTATAAATATGCGAGTTGGCGCATCACCGCACTTTATCCATACACACCAGCACCGCCGCCGAAGCAACGGCAAAAACAAACCTAAAGAAAAAAAAAAAAAAAAAAAAAAAAGAAAGAACAATTTGCATGTTAAACACACCCACGAACCGATAGAAGTAAAAAAGATACTCGCTCGGACAAATTTCCATCCTTTGCCATTTTTTATCCGGTTGAACTGGCGACCACGTGGGCATCGTCAATAACACCGCTCCTCACCCCGCTGTGCTCCCTGTCCCAATGCGTGTTTGTGGCGGCGGCCACTGGCTACTGAGAGCAATCCGTGATTGTTCTCCGGCAAACCATCCACATGTCGGTTTGTTATTTATTTATTATTATCATTTTTTTTTCTTCTTTCTTGTCCACCATAATCTCGCGGCGCAAAGGCGTTTTGTCGCCGCCTGCGCAAACGGGTAAACTGAAAGAAAGAGAAAAAAAAAATAATCAGGAATGACGGTGCAAACCACCACGTATGTAAGGGGCCTCGTTTCACTTCAGTCCACCCTCTTTTCACCCTCCCCTCGCGTCACCACCACAGCAGCGCATAGACAAATCGATTCACCTCTTCTTTCCCCCCACCCCACCGCGCTGTTCACGACACAGAAAAAAAAATTTTTTTTTCCTGCTTCGTTAAACGTTGTATTTTTGCACCGCCACTGCTCCACTTTTTTAATTATTTTTTTTGTGCGAGAGCACAAAAACAGAGTCCCTTTTTTTCATGTCTACAGCTCGCACCGCCACACATGTGTATTCGGGTGTGTATGCATTGGCCCTTGAAGAACAACGCACCGGCGGAGCCGTAAAATAAAACAAAACAAAAAAAAAGAAGGATATCGCGGGTTCGTCAACAGTGCCAGCGGCAGAGGCGACGCCGTGTGATCCAAACATACAAAAAAAATAATTACGTAAATGAACGGGAAAGCTCTGTGGTTTTCTGCAACGCGCTATGCAGTTGCCAAAAAATAGTGGGCAGGAAGCAGCATGGATTCCCTCCCCCTCAAAAAAAAAAAAAAAAAAAAGAAGAAGGATACCATCTGCTATGGGTGCGCATCGCTCCGTTTCTCCCTCTCTCTGTATGGACTCATACACCAAGAGGCATTCGGTGAACACGCCATGTGGGTTAGGGGGCGAGGAGGAATGGATAAAAGAATGCGGCGGGTAAAGAATGGGTTTACACTGAGAGGGAACGAATGAACCGAGAGGCAGAAAGAAAAAGTAACAATGGCACCGCGACGTGTTGCGTGATTTTAATCGCCCTTCCGATAAAAAAAAAAAGAGAAAGAAGCCGGATGAATGTGATCGGTCAATGCAGAGCCTAAGAAGAAGGAAAAAAGGAAAACAACAAAAACAACAACAAAAACGACAACAAAAAAAAAACAAAAATAATAATAATAAACTACCCTTTTAATTAAAACAATTCCCTCTCTTTTTACCAAGAAGCTTCCAGAAGTTGTATTACGGAACAGGCGGCAACGCCAACAGGAAAGAAATTAGAAAAGACATTAGAGAAGAAAGAGAAAAAGGGAAAAGAAAAAACTCAATGGAAATAATAATAATAAGAAGAGATACAAACAGAGAATTATGAATAGCCCCACCATACGGCACTGTACCTTCGACGCGTCTTGATGTTGCATCATCTCAACGCGCAGAGGCAAGGTATTTGTGTGCGGGGCATAAAAGCACACCTGCCTTGAATAAACAGTTCCAATTACCATATTCATAAAACAAGCGCTCACTAATACAAACTCCTTACCTAAATTCTTACTTATTTCTAAATAAATTTCTTTTTTTTATCGCTGAAGAAGGGAAAGCATGACACTACGGTCCTTTAGAGCCCCTTCCACACGGTCCGCTGGTAACGTCGGCAGATGACCCGTGATAAACGCATGCACATCAGCGTCACTGCCAAAGTGCTCAACGACGCTCTGCATGACTTCTAGTGAAGCGTTTGGCAGGTAGCGGCGACGCATAGACTCCACCCTCGTCGCCTCGTTCGCGAAGAATAAGGGAGAACTTGCTGACCCGTTTTCATGCACCAGAGTATGGTCGGGACGCATAAAAATCATCTCATTTTGAATGATCCAAACATTACTCACGCTGTCCAGAAGAAGTGAAACGGTGCGGTCAAAAAAGCACGTCAGGAAAGGAGCCTTCTCACGTGGAATTAAATCGGCACCGTTACTGCCTTTTGGGGACCAATGCCAAAAGAGTCGGCCATGTATAGTCACTATACATGTCGGAACCTTCATATTTTGCGAAAGAAACACGACGTTGGCGTTCCCATTGAGTTCATGTGAAACACTGATAAATTTCCTTTCGCCGCCACCAACTTCCTGAAGAGCCAACGACGACTTAGCGCGGCCGAGGGCCACGTGACTTAAAGACTGCAGGTTGTTCTGGAGGTTCCTCCAACGGACCTGTCTTCGAAGGATCAGGAAATCATTGGTCATAACGTTGCGTTGCGATTCGGACAGCAAGTCACCATTGTGTGCGGTGTCAAACGGCAGGCGTCGCGGAATAGGCTCTTCCGCTCGGCTCACGCTGAACACAGTACCTGAAGTGTATAAGTTAACAAGTGCATCGTAGTTACGTGAAGCAGCGGCGGCGAAGAGATTACTCTCAAGAAAGCGCAGCACACCAAGTTGGGACTCATTAAGACTGACAGGTACAGGATTGGGCAGATGCATAAGGCCACGATGAATCAATTCCCCATCAAGCATCATAAGTTTTGGTAGAGACCTCACCATCTGTGTCCTATAATCAGCGCGCGTTGTGATCGTGTTTTCTTTCAGTAACAGTTCTCCAAGGCCCTCGTATTTTTTTAGCGGCCCCAGAAAGGCAAAGTCTGAGATTTGGTTGCCAGTTGCGGATATGGCTGTCACACCCCGGTGTATGTCCGCCCCCTCCAGCGCCGTCAATAAAACGGTCAACTTCCGTATGTTGTTTTCGTTCAGCACAAGAATGCGAAGAGACGTACCAATCTTGTTTTTAATCACATCCGCCAGACTCTTGCAAAACGTCACACTGTTGAAGTCCACGCTGCGCTGAACGCTGAGAAGGTCCGGGGAGTCCTTAAACCTCGAAAGATTCAACATGCCAGTGTTCGGGTCAAATATCGCCCCCGCAGATTTTTGAAAGAGAAGATCCAACAGTGTTGTCATTACAGGCACGGCTGCGACGTCCCGGTCACCCGATTTTTTGTTGCTGTTGTTGCTCTTATTATTGTTTCTGTCCCCCGGGCCGCTATTGCCCCGTTCATTCCATCGAGAAAAACGCTCATTGGATGCAATCTCCTGGGGAAAGGCCCCACGGCCAGTATTCCCACGACCTGGATTTCCACGGCCCCCATCTCTGCCACGGTGCTTATTGTACGGACGACTCATTCTTGAAAAAAAAAAAAATCCGCTTTTTATTTAATCTCACGTTTAAGGCCACAAGTCAAAATGAATGCGCTTCAAAAAAGGGGTTAACACAAGAAGAAAAAGAAAAAAAAGAATAAGGAGCATCCGCTTCAAATAAACATCAGTTAAACATCCATACACAAGTTTTTTTCTTTTTTTTTTTTTTTTTTTTGTGTGTGTGGCGGTGCCGTAGGGATAAGCCTTCGTTTGGTTCTTGGTGGACATCCGCACCCTCTTCTTTGCTCAAGTTGCGTGCGCCCATCCAAGAAAAACAAAAAAAAAAATTGCCGTTTGCATTCTCGCCCTCCCTCTTTTCGTCCTTTGATTCTTGTTGTGTAGGCAATTAGGCTCTTCTTCTATTGCATTCGCTTCCGCCTTGCAAGCCTCATCAAGGTGGAGTCGAAAAAATGATGGCCTGGCAGTTGCCACAAGTAATGCTGCAGCCTGGCATCCGGCGTAAACTCGTACGGCGTGTTTTGGCAGCGGAGCCACAAAAAAACGGTCCTGCCAATCGCCATTATTTTGCTCCAGTTCACGATGGGAACTCCGGTCGTAGGAGAGAGTTCTACCGTCCTTCCTTTCGATTCCTCTGTGCGGAACAGCACGCCGAGGAGTGGTGCGAGCAGTGGGATCATCGGCACCCGCGTCTCCTCAAGGGCTTGGTTGCTAACAAAGGAATAAGAAGAGGGACTTTCATGAGAGGCAAATGGGTCCATTATTTTCTGCAACGCCGTGAACTCCCGCTCCTCCGCGTCGCTTAAGATACTGCGGCACTGAAAGTGTTTTTTGTAAAGCTCTTCTAGCGTCACCACCGCAGGGTGCTGCAGACCCTGTAACATAGCAGAGGCCATCTCATAGTTTTGTTCTTCATAAAGAAAACGGCACACACGAATGCCGTGAATCATGACCTTTTGGCATTCCGACCATCGCGTCGGGCTCACAATCAAAGCCGTCATCCATCGCTGCACATGAGAGGAATAATCAACAAAACGCGATAAGTGGAAAGGCACACTCATACGCATGGTGCTATCGCACCACGCATTATTAAGTAATTCACGCAAATGAATATCGGCAAACAACTTAAATGAGAGAAGACACAGCTGAATGGCAAGCGTTTTCGCAGCAACTGCCGTAAACTCAACTTCCGTGTAATATGCCTCCATTTTTAAACACACCCCTTGCAATGACGATCCGACCCTTTCCGCCTGCAAAGCCCCGTCTTGTTGCTTCAACTCCTTTTTCAGGATGGTCCCTAATGGTCTCACAGATGCCGTTAACTTCCGTTGCCAACAAACACCACGACCGTCCCTGTCTGGAAGCAATGTGTATTTTTTTTCCAGGGCCCTCTCCACAAAAATACGCAACTCGTCGAGACGCGGTGTAACTTCCGCAGAAACGAAGGAGAAATCTCCCCCCATTTGTTGTGTCGCCGTCGTTGAAGTCCCTCTTCCACTAAAATTGGCGGATTGGACATCATGTAGGGAATGACCCACCGAAGGTGTGGCATTTAAACTCCGTAGAAATTGACGGAGACGATCAAGGAGGGCGTAAGTGACATCCGCCTCATGATAATTGCAGTATGCAGTCATAAAATGTACAATTCGACGCAGAATAAACACACGGCGACTGTCATCCAGAAGCACTCTTGGTTGTTTCTGTACGTGGCGAAACAGGCGGATCAGCCGCACGATCAGCACCTCCGGCATCACAAACAAAGAAGAGAGCAAAATGAACGTATTGGTGTAGTTCGTGATCGGCATCCCTGTTGTGAATGGAACGTCTGTCTCCACAAAAATAAGAACCTCAATCAAAAGCTCTAACGACCCACCAACTGCTGAGTTATAAAATATCGCGTTATCACCATCTCCCGACACGGGATTGTGATCTTGGGGTGAGTGGAACTGCTCCAAGGGCTCGAGACGATAGTCCTTCCGCTGGCAATTAATCTCTCGCCAGGGAAGGCTGTCATTGAGTGACTGCCTCCGCCGCACAGATTCCATCACGAAAAGCAACAAGTCATCACTAGTCAGGGCGTAATTTGGTGAAAAGGACGTGTCTTGTCTCCCCTGCTTTACCAAAGATGCTGTGTCCAAATGTTGACTCTGAACTTGTTTCCGTTTTTGATGATGATACAAGCAGCTTTGAAGTTGTTTCTCAGCCAACGGCAAGTGCATCTCAAACGATCGCATTGCTTCTTTATATCCATGAGCGGATAGAAAGGATGCCACAAAGCTATGAACATCACACCTGACTTGAAATTCTCCTAAGCAAACCTTTGGATGTGTACTTGGGGTTGTTGTGTCCATTTCTTCTGGATGCTCGGCCTTTTGGACGCGAGTAAAAGGCATGCTATGGTTAAGAAGCGACATCGCTCGCTGATACTCTTGAATAGATCGCTGAATAGCCTGATTCATGTCCACCAATGTCAAGGGAGGAAATGGTGCTTCTCTACTGCCGTCTGCCGCTGTTTGTGGGATGATCGGAGACCCGCTATCACGCGTGATTTGATGTCGTCGTATTAGATTCCTTGGCGAGGCACCCGCAGTGAGGGCCACTGGAATAATTGACGTTGAATATTGGCAGCGGCTTAGGGAAACGGATGTACATGAGTTTTCCACGTCTGAACCGGAAGAAAAAGGAGACATGCGTGGCGTTTTTTTACGACCCGGCGCGATTATGTTCTCCACCCTTCCTGTGGACATGGCAGAGGTTGTTGCAGATTGCAATACATCAGTATTCACCTGCATTTCAGCCATCAGTAAATTGTTTGTCGTACCTGGCCTCCTGACTGGTCTCCGCACGAAGTTCTCAAACGACCGCGGCACCTCCACAACAGGAGATGTTCGGATGCTGCCGCTGAAGCTTCCCGTGCTTGGCGGTGGTGGGGAAAATGGAGGGGAGAGCACATGGCTTCCCTCGTCATCCTCCGCTGGCGGCGGGCCGATGTCCTCAACGGTCGGGGAGGACTCAACTTGTCGGACAACAACCGCCGGCGAGATGTTCATTTGCGCCACGCCAGAACGCACCCCAACTTTTTTGCCATTCGACGGAAGCAACGCGTGAAAAACGTTAAACCGCACACACAAACACACAAAAAAAAACACAACCGGCGAGATGCAAAAAAAAGAAAAAAAAAAAAAAGAAGTGCGCTTTGAATAGAAATGGCAAAAAAAGGTATTCCCACTCAGGCGCAGAAACACACACAGACGCACACACAAACACACACAAAAAGGAAACATTCCCATGCAAATTTCACTCCTTCACTTCCCGTAGCACAAGAAAAATGTACTATTAATAAAAAGGAAATTTATTGTCAACATCGTGGTGGTATCGGTTAAGTCCACCTTCCATATTTATAAAACGGTACCGCCGCCTTGAAGTGTAGGGCTTTGTGGCGTCGGTGCGACCATCATCCAACGTGTCGCATCGCTGTTCAGTCGACAAGAAAATTTTAACGGCTTCGGTCGACTTTATCCCTCTGCGACAGACCACAAACACAGTCACGCAATCATTCGTGGTGCCGATATGACAGCTGACAAAGCGTTCCCATTCATTCCAAAGGACACCGTCAAGCTGCCATTTTTTGAGCTGCAACAGCGGCAGCAAGACAGCCGTAGGAAGGTGAGCCATTTCGTACTGTTCCTTTGAGCGTACATCCAAAATCATGCACGTTGTCGTAGAGTGCCCTATGTGTTGAAGATATGCAAAGGCATCCTTTGGCGAGATGCGTGCCTCTGTGGGAAGAAGTTGTGCACTCAACGCAGAGCCAGAAACACATGACACCGCAATGTACTCGGGGCGCTCTGCTACTAGTTCGTGCAGTCCTCTACTCTTATCCGAGGCATCACCGCACACCAGACACGTTTTTTGTCGACCACGAAGATTCACAACTCGCATATGGAAGCGGAGTCCATCAAAGATAAGCATACGGCCTGAAAGTACATCCCCGGCCTTTGCCAAAACTTTCAGTACTTCCATCGCCTGCAAACAACCAATGAAACCAGGCACCGGGCCCATGACACCCGTGTCATTGCAGCTGCCAACTGCCTCTCGCGGCGGGGGAACAGGAAAAAGGCAGCGAAGACATGGACCGCCGTCATACCCATAGACAGACAACTGCCCATCCCATCGCATCGCACTGCCACTTACAACAGGTTTCTCATGTCGGACGGCGGCGTCATTTATTAAATAGCGCGCTGCAACATTGTCCGTGCCATCCACCACCAAATCACAGTCTCGCACGAGATCCTCCGCGTTGAATGGATCAAATGCCACATCCAGTGGGTAGACCATCGTGTCCGGGTTGAGTGCACGACATGCACTTGCCGCGCTGTCCACCTTTTTCCACCCGATGCGATCTGTTGCGTGTATGACCTGGCGGTGAAGATTGCTCAGCTCCACCACGTCAAAATCGACAATCCTCAGCTCACCGACCCCCGAGGCCGCAAGAAAAAGTGCAATGGTGCTACCCAATCCACCCGCACCCACGAGAAGAACACGACCACGACGAATTCGTTCCATGCCACTCGCGCCAATGCCATCCACCATCATCTGCCGCGAGAAACGCTCCACATCCGCCTTTGTTAACGAGGCCGCCGCGCACACAAAAGGTGCCAACACGTCACTCGGGTATTTATCTTTCATGTGATCATTCTCACTTGTCGCTTGCAGAGGCAAAGTGCGGCGCCTTTCGCTCAGCCGGCGCTCGAGCTCCCGCAGCTTTCGCCGCGTCGCCTCCACCTCTGCCTCTAACTCCGTTGTTTCATCCATTTCACAAGTCAACTCGTCTCAGACCACCCCGCTTAGCACTTCTCTCAATTTGCACCGGCAGTGCACAGGTTAAACGACCCCAACGAGTAGCAAAAGCAAAAAAGGGCTAAAGGAAACTCAAAGACAATTACAGATGCCATTTATTTCGCGCACATCATTCGTCAATACAGCAATTATGCAACACCTCTTTCTTAAAAGCCATCAAGAGGAGTTCACGTTCACTCCCTCCATCATTAGACCACAAAAGGGGTGAACCTAACAATTCATTCATACAATAGCCAAAAATGATGGGAAATACAGAGGAATAGTAACAAAAAACCACTTACGCACTCACATAAAACAAACAGCAACAATAAAAAATAACCGCCGCGGCAAGAAAATAGCACTGATGGCCCAATTAATCTTGGCAACGTCGCATATTACTTTTTTTTGCTTTGTGTAGACAAACGGAATGTCCCACAGAGAGTGGCGGGAACTGTGCGGTGAAAGTCCATAGCGGAAAACCCCGATGACGCTGCCAAAGTGTGCATAACCTGCGTAAGAGTCTCTGCCTCCGTCGGTAAAATATCCTCTTGCTGACGAGAGCCCTTTTGCCCAAAGGCGCACACATACACTCGAACCGCCTGCGATAAATGATTCAGAAGGAGCACTAACTGGTCCGAGTGGAATTGCTTCAACAGGAGTGAAAGGCCCTTGGCAAACGCCTCAGGGTCAACCAAGTCCTTCGGTTGGTTCGGCACCATGGAGGCAATAGACTCATCGTAGCGCATCCTCGGTACGTTGCGCAGCGTCAGAGCAAGGAGGTAGAAGACAAGAGAAGGTATGGGCTTTGACGTCACGTACACCTTGGAGAGGGCATCGCTAATGCCAACAGAATCGAGAAATGGGGAGATGACGGCTATAACTTCGTCGGGAATGGGGTGGGAGTCCGGGTTGTGGTAATGATGACGCAGGTCCATCAACAACGCCTCATTTGCCGTCGACAATGCAGCAAAGAGGGATCCGCTGTTTAACTTGCAGAAGGAGCGAAGTTCACTCGCAATCATCGTGCGCATGAGTTGAATACGTCCAACACGTACCAAAATCTTCGTCAGCTCCGCAAAGTGACTATCGCCAACACCACTTCCTCCATCAACAGCCCCCATCAACTTCAAATAAATTTGTGTGCCATTTGTCGGCGTATCACTGGCCGGACACAACTCCCTGCCAATTTTTGCGACCTCCTCCTCCACCGGCTCTATCGCCGCGCGAATGGATTTTAACGCCAGCTGCAAGTCCTTAGCGAGAACAAAACACATCAGTCGATCCAGTGCCCCAAGACCCATGGAGCCAATGGCGTCGCAAATGCTGGTAAAGGTGCGTGTCCCCACGATCTCCTGAAGACCATCTCGCGCGTACCATGAGCCATATGCTGACAAGAAGACAGAGCGCATTGGGTCTGTCATTATGAGAAGGTGCTGCAATATTCTACCAAGGAAACTGTACGCGGAATTCTCCTTAGACCGTGAAAAATATGGAATAGGGATGCTGTCAGATTGATACTGGGATTTCCAGGGGTACAACTTCTTTTGCATGAAGGCATTGCATTCCATTTCCACATTAAAGTGAACAATGCGGGAAAACTCTTCTAGCCAAATACAAAGTCCATGAACGTTGACATAGTCCTGAATGTACTCGAAGGATGCTCGGATGCCATTCAACCTTCTTGCAAGGCGAGCAAGTTCTTCATCAAACAGACTCGCCGAAATGGGATCATTTCCGTCAAAAAGCAACGAGTGATGCAACTCATGTGTGATTTGTCTTACAAGTTCCTTTCGAATTCCATCCTCCAAAAGCTGATGCGAATCCACCTGAATCACGCCCACAAGGGTACTTTCCATGGCAAGAATACCGCTGGCATATTTGGCGATATCCGCCGTGTGAGCGGAGAGTCTCCGCCGAATGTCCAGCTGACTCTCATTTTTCATCTCCTTCCGCAAAAGTTTTGTCGGGCATTCCCGGAGGTCATTTGTTAAAATCTCCATAATTTCTCGCAGGACGTCAAAGATGGAGGTTGGAATGATATGAAGGACACCTCGTGCAAAGGCCACCAGGTCACCAGAGTAATACTCCGATGTCGTTTCAAGAGCCGCCAAAAGACGAGCATCATTCTGCGCCCCCTGATCAATACGATTGCACGGCAGCTCCAGCATCGATGCCAGCTTTACAAACACAGCACGCATTTGTACAGCAAGATCTGGTCGTTGTTTAATCTTCATTTGAATGGCATTCACAAAATAACCATGTGTCGATACACGTTCCCAGGCATACGATAAGTCCCCCACCGTAGCGATGGTGATGAGCACCTTGTTCTCAATATTAATGTATCGTATCATCTGACGCAAGAGAAATTGTGTGTCCTGCACAAACTGAACGACTTGCAGATTACTATCAATCTGATGAAACTCCTGCACATTTTCAAGTGCCTTAATTAATTTTTGAATTTTTCGACTAGCTGTAATGCTATCCGTATAGTCTAGACCCTCAATGCGTTCAGATATCTCGGAAAACCACGCCTCCAGCTGTGAATCACGCACATTATCACTAAGAACATGCTCACCTGAGAAAAAAGTGGCCAGTTTCGACATTTTTGTTGCCCCTTCCTCCCGCGAGGACTCCCATTTGGAACGTTTTTGTTTCAGTAGTGTAGTGAACATAGCGCGGAGAGTAAACTCCAGCTGAGCCGTGCGTAGTAACAGTGTGATAATATCGTCTTCCGTAACACTGCCCATGATCATTTCGTAACTCCTTCGATACTTCTCAAGGTAACGACTGCCAGGCCGGCCGCGGGTTGAATGGAGAATGAACCACCGCAGCACAACGTTCGCCTCACGGATACGGGGCAGCAGCGAGGAGTGAATGTTGTCCAGAACATATTGTTCAGTCAGCACACCTTCTCTCAAAACTTCTCCAATTGAATTATTGAGGGACTTCATACAACTCTGCATTCGCTCAAGATGATAAGTTACGTTCTCAATAGCAACGGTTCCACTAATGGCTGTGCTGGCCGCCCTAAAATTCCGCCATGCCACTGTGAGATCCACTGTAAATCCCATGTAATAGTTTATAACCCAATTATCAGCAAAGTGTTTATCAACAATCTCTCGCATGACAGGTCCTTCGTTGTGTAGTATCTCTGGACGGAAAAATAGGAGTACATATAACGCGGCACCCTGCAGAGCTAAGGCCGCACTCCGGTGCTCTGGTGCAGGATAGTTGTATGCCATCTGGTAGATATCATCTGAGCGAATACGTCCCAAGATCATTCCAACCACTTCCTTGTCAATAGGCACACGATTAAAGTAAGCAACGGGGTAACATTCGGGTAATGTCTGGTCGGGCTCATAGCCCGTTGCGCGGCAAAGGTTAGTCACCTCAACCATGTTGGCCTCTCCGGCGCCCTTGTAGCGAATGTAACTCACAAGAAGATTTTCTCGTGTTTTGCCACCAATTTTATAATCCAACAGCAGCAACATGACACCGTAGAGGTGCAGAATTTCACAGAGAAGTTGTTTTCCATCGAGGTTGACCAAAATGGATTCCAGAGTCTGAGAAATGTACATGCCCTCCCTTATCTCCTCTATAAATCGGTTTAACTCCAACACGTACCCGTAGACGCCACGGAAAAGCTTAAAGAACCGATCGAGAAGCTCCATGTGTGTTGTGGCAAGGACCTCGTCCTTCTGAAGCAGCTCATAGGAATCCTGAATGCGTTTCTCAAACCCATCCTGCGCCTTGAAGTATCGAAAATCACTGATGAGAGGGGCATACTCCGTCTCTTCGGGGTGTATGAACTCCAGTGGAATGTGCTCCGAGAGACGTAGGATTTCCGCGATGATGGTGCTTCCGCGCGCCGCAAGTTGAAGGGCATTTTGCCCACAATCGTCATTCAAAAACTCCGAACGATGCTTCTTCCATTTCTCACGGTTCATCCTCCCCCGTTTCAGCAAGCTGTTCCTCGTGAGATTTTAAGCGGCAACGAGAATAAAGGGATTTACAAGATCTTTTTCTTTTTGCTTCTTTTTCCTTTCGTCTCTGTACTATGTCGGGGAAAGAAAGAAATGAAGTGAATGAATCATGCCAAGAGGATTTAACCCATAAATACATGGATAAACGGGGCATGTATGCACGTTCCATTCATAACGATGGGTGGGGAAATCCACACACAAACGCACGCTCCCAAAGTGAAGGAAACACCACAGGAAACTTGCCAACTAAAGTTTTAAGTATGCTTGCATTAATCGTAAATTGTCTATGATTGCCGTATTCATAAAAAAATGTGAAAAACAACAAAAACAAAAAAAAAAAAAAAGCCGTTTATAAGAACACCGTCAATAACACAATGATCCAAGCATTCTCAGACAGCCTGTGAAGAATATTCTACATCCGCTGAGAGTTCCGCATCAGAGTTGGTTTGGACAAAATTGCCATTATAGGCATCGGTCCAGCTACTCTCATTGGCATTTTCATCCAACATAACATCATCATCATCATCATCAAGGGGTTCATTTTCGGCACAAGTAAACCGGCACTGCAGGAGAGTCTCTAGAACACCCCAGTGGTAGTCTGCCTTCTCATCTACAGCTGTCGGTGCTTGAGTGGCCATTGTTGTTTTCTCCTCAATCCCTTCCTTTTCCCTCTCCTGTTCCCATGCAGTCTTTGGCCTTAACTGCCGAAACAGGGCCAACTGACGCTCCTTCCACTCCAACTGAGCCAAAAGATCATCGGCGGCATATGAAGAATGCACATTGGTGGGCGGCACTTGTATCGCTGCTTCCAAAGTCTCATCACCAAGGGGCGACACCGCATACGCGCTCGTCATCTCACACTCTGTTGGATGCACGACGGGCTGCTCAGCAACCGCATTTTCGCACTTTGGCGTTTGCGCTGGCACCTCTTGACAACTGCCAGGTGCCATTGTGTCCATCTCATCGGTGGCGTATAGTGGAGTAAAGAGAGGTGGATAAACTGACAATAGCGCCCTCACTCGGCGTGGCTCCGTCTCCTGCATGTCACGCTCCAACGCATCAAGGGCGCTTTCGGCGGAATCCGTTTCATCATTATCATAATCATCCTTTTTCTGTTTACTCACCGAATCACTGAATGAGCTGGCAGAAGAGGCTGGCACCACAGATGATACATCCGCATCCTCCGAATTGGAAATACCCGAGAAGGGGGAATCGGTCACAACATCATCGTAAGATTTCGAAGCCAAACTAATTCTTTGCTGCTCCTTGGTAGAAACATCAAGAAAAGACCCCGCAACATCATCAACAGCTTCCGTCACACTGCTCGAGCCCTCCAATGAGGCCCGTGGAATTTCCTCGTCAACTTCTCTTGTCTCTCCCTCATCACTTGGTAGTGGAACGTCGTCCTCTACCATGTCAACAACGTTAATTGCCCCAACCAGAGCATTCGCATAATCACTTTCCGCCGTCGCCCAACTCAATTCACCAACCACCTCTTGAGGAATACTCACTTCATCGTCGTCGGGTTTACCACCGCTCCATGTTCCCTGATCATCCAGCTCGTCAAATACCTCATTACCCATGAGGTCAGAACCGTTTGCGATGCCTACGACATTGTCTTCCACCATATCGTCAACAATACTACTTCGGCTGAGTGCTGCAGCCGTAGAGACTTCATCCACCATATCTCTATCACTGCTTCGCCCTGCTTCGTTCTCCATGAGATCGATGATGTCATTCATGACGTCCGATAGCGTACTCTTGTCATGACGCATTCGCTGGTGGGCCTTTGCAATGCGCTGTGCCTTGGCAAGAAGTTTTTGCTTTGCTTCCTGCGCCTTGCGCTGACAGTCAAGAAACCTCATGTTCCGTTTCATTTGGTCAATAAAGCGACGAAGTTTCCGGACGTCGCCTATATCACGTCGCAAGCTCGACAACCATACACGACGCTCATCGTCGTCCTTGGGCTTCGTGAAAGAATTCATTTCCAACGTGGCCTCATCTTCATTTTTTATTCGTAGTTGCCGCATATCTCCATCCGGGCCGAGAAGTGCCTGCATGAGGCGATTAGCAGAGCCACATGCGTTGTAGAACTCTTGCAGTGTGCTCAATAGAGATATATCGTCCCCGATTGGACCACGCATGTCACTATTTACTTCTTCAATCAAAGAAGATTCAGCCATCGATGTCGACACATTGACACTTTGGGAAGAAGAGTTCTTCATACTAGAGTCGTTTTTAATGGACATGCTGCTCGTTGCTACGCTGGAGCTATTGGAAATGTTGGCGACGGGTAAGTCTGTTGAAACACCACCTCTGCTTTCAAAATCTTCCGTATATGACACGGTAGAATAGACGGCATTTGCCAAACTTGAGATGACTGAGGCACTTAAGGAGGCATCGCCACGTGCGCTTTCCAGGGGTTTTACTAGGGGAACGTAATATACACGCTTGTAGGGCCGCGGTTCCTCTGTCGGACGAACCACATCTACTGAAATTGTTCCTCTCATCATTTTTGATTTGGGTGGTACAGTTTCCTCAACTCGAAGTGCTTTTTTATTGGAGCACTCCTCCGTGTATGACTTCAGCACTTTCTCCAGTAGTGGGCTGGCAATGGAAGCAGAGTTGCTTTTGGCCGGTTGCTGTGGTGTCGGTGCTGCTAACGTAACGTTAGCCCCAACAGACTCCATGAATAGCATCGACTGTTGATATAATGCCGATGCGAGACCTGCTGTACGTCGTTCTGTCTGAAAAAGTGAAATCTCTTCGCGGAGCAGGTCCAGTTGCCGCATCGACGCGCGAAGGCCACGGTGCACCTCCATTTGTTCTTGAAACCGCCGCTCAATTTCCCGCATCACCTGACGAAACGGCACTTTCGGTCTGCCGGGTGTGCGGGGCTCATCCTCCTCCACGAAAGCAGCGTCATTCACGGTGGGGGCGGCGTGGGGCTCGTCAGTGACCGCGTCTCCGCCAGAAGTCACGACGGCCTCCGAGGCTCTCATGTTTGAAAGAAGCGGTGGTGCAGTCTCACCGTGACAAACACCGTCAAAGGGACCGTCACATGTCTCCGGAAAAATAAATGACTCCTTCTCACAGGACCTCCGCCCTGGGCCATACGATGATCCAAAAAGCTGAGAAAAAAGCGGGGTGTTTGCAGCGCTAAAACACGTATCCTGTTCATACATTTCTAAAACAAAACAAAAAAGCAAAAAAAAGCACCCAACTCAAAGAAAGAAAAAAAAGACTAAAAAAGCAAAAGAGAAAACACACAGAAATACAAGTCCATCAAATGTGCGCATTCAAACACACACACACACAAAAAAAAAAAAAAACAACTAATTTGCATATATGTACACACTGCACAGAACAAAATAATTTAGGTGTCTGCTCTTTGGTAATATGGGGTAAAAAAATCTTTTCCCTTGTTGTTGGTTTGTTCCATTTTCTGTATGCGCCGGTTGAATGTCGGTAGTTTCATACGAAAAATCCAAAAGGAATAAAAAAAGAATTTTGCAATGCCGAGAGCAGCAGGCATGTGGAAGGATATTTTATGGGACTTGCAATACTCATGAAGTTAACCCCACCTCTGTAAATGTGTGGGACCGGAACCAGTTGATGTGGTACGGAAAAGAGAACAGAAGATGCCTCGTGTATGTAAGCCAAAACGTAAAAGGATGTTCTAAGAGGTTTTGTGTGTCCCCGCCTCACTCGCCCTCAAGCAATCGGAGTGAGTGTTTCGGGCGGTTTCGTACGTGGAAACGTACATTTCTAATTTCATAGGGAGCGGCGGTTCAATGACGCTTTCAACGCAATGGTATTTAGACATGCTCTATCCCACGCCGATTAACGCACCCCTCCCCCCACCGCTGAAATAACATGATGGCAGGATGGTGTTTGCGGTTCTGAATTTCTATTCCTGTCTGTTATTCTCCCCTCTTATGTTTTCTGCATCTCCTTTAAAAAATGAAAAAAATAAAAAATGGTTAAATAAAAGTAAAATAATTATATAAAGAGGAGCATTTAAACATTATTTTTTTTGTTTTTTCTTAATGGCACAACATGAAAGAGTCCAAAAGAGTTGCAGCGGAACAAACAAACAAACACAAATATGGCTGTATAAAAGTGGCCCTCTATTGTCTACTTCATTCTCATTCTCTCTCGCCTGTTTACTTCCCGCGTGTCACTAACGTTCATAACCCATGATGTCCAATGCCTTCTGTCCTCTCGGTTCACTTTTCCTCTTTCCCTTAGCTTAGCTCCCGTTTATTATTATTATTATTATTGTTTTTATTATTATTATTTGCTCGTCCCTTTGTGAATGTCAAATTTCCATGTTTCCTTTATTTTTTTTCATTTCTCAACTTATGTGCCTTTCTTCACTCTCCTCACAACGAATTAAAGCGCTTGTGGCTTCTGTGCCGCGTGTTGCGTCGTGTCGACCACAAGCCCTTGAGAAGCGTGCACACAAAAAACGGGGTCGCCAGAGAGTGACCAAAACAAACAAACTCCACATTGGCGTTATGTGGGGAAAGGGGATAAAACGCATATGGGAAGCAAAGTGGGTTCTTTCATTATCAGTTATTATCAGTATTATTACGATTGTTCTTGTTATTTCGGAAACCCACTCCCTTCTTTTCTTTTTCTTTTCTCTGTCGTTGTTTGCTCCACATGTCGCGGCTGCCGCCCTCTTCTTCTCGTTTTGGGTTTCGGTGTCGCTTCTTTCTAAACTCGCCCTTGCCGTGACGCCGCCTCACTCATCGGTAACTCACATGAAGTCGTCATCAAAGTCGTAGTCTTCGTTGTTTGCGGCGATGCGTTCATCGTCGTCATCCTTCTTCTCCACGTCCCGGAGTGCCATCAGGTCGAGTTTGTACCGGAGAATACCGCCAATACCGCCGAATCCGCGAACAAACTGCGTCCCCTCCTGGCTACGGTTTGTAACAAGTTCCAGGGTGCATCCAAATTTCTGGTAGTTTGTCGCAAGCCAGTCCACAAAATTCTCCTCCTCAATCTCGTTTTGTGTCTTTCCTGCTTCATGTGCGTGGATGTTCTCCTTCGCCGCGTTGGCATCTGTCATGATGCGGATGGTGACCTCCTCTTCTGGTGTCCCACGATTCTTGACTATTGTGTACCGGCTCATCTCCAGATCCTCATACACAATGAGCGTCTCGACCGCACCCGCCTCTAGACACTTCATGGTGTCGTTCACCCCAAAGCAATACATCTGTGTGTCACAGGCAATCTGATCAAAAAAGCTCTGCAGCAGCTTTTTCTCCTGCACAAGTTTTACGCCCGTGAGAGCATCGGCGGCAAGATCTATGGCTTGATTTAAACCAACGTCGCCGGGATGAGCTACATCCACCACTTTCAACACCACGGCCTTGAGGCGCGGGTCAAAGAGATCGGACTGGTATAGCACCTCCTTAAACTCTGCAGAACCTGCCAACACAAGGCCCACGACATTCGGACGGTCGTTCGTGATGAAGTACTGCGTGGCCCCCTCTGCCACTTTGCGCAAGTAGTTGTGACGGCGTTCCATACGAATACGAGCAAAACGGTTTTTACTCTGACCACCTCGACCATGTTTTTTTGGTAGCTCCACCGTGAAAGAACCGAGTTTCTCCTTGACGCTCCCGCAGAGAGTCGCGTATGTCGTACCGCTACCGTCCACTACAATGAAGCCAAATTTCTCATCTGATTCCAACATGCGGTGTAACTCCTCTGTGTGAAACTTATTGTCACAGAGGTACAAACTGCGACTAACGGGCTTAAATGGCTCAATGTCCAGCGTGAGCTTCTTTTCCTTGTTATCGGCTGTGAGAACGGTACCACAATAAAGAAGAAGCCCGTTCGGTGGGAGACGATTGTACTGCTTCAAGCGCCCAAGGGAGGCAGTGATGGCACTTTGAACACTCAGTTTGTTGGTGTGGGACTTAATATTCGACGCGGTGCCGTACTCATTATTTAACTTTGTGACCATACCAGAGACCTGCTCCTTCGGCGTCATGTAAATACTGATAACACTGGTACCCATGCCACGCGCGGACTCAAGCATCTGGATGAGTTTTTTCACCTTGTAGCGCTCAATCGCCTTCTCCGACTCGGACAGCTCATGATCGCCCATAATGCGCTTCCTTGATCTCCGGACAACTCATTCATCATACAACAGACATGCACACACATACACGTAGAGAGAGGGAGAAAGACAAAGACACAGAAAACAACAACAACTAAATGGCAAAAAATATGTGAGAATATTCATAAGCAGTAAATCCCAATACACTCTGCTTCAGGGCTCATACACGGGTGTTTCGCTCTTTGAGGCGTATTTATGTGTTTCCTTCATTCTTTCACTTTTCTCCTCACACCGATCCACTTCAGTGTGTGTGTGGAACCCATACAATATTCATACTCACGGCAACGAGTGCAAGTAACACAAGAGAAATGATGAAAAGAACCAAAGACGATTTCCCCCAGCTGTCATGGGCAAATCCCTCCATCACCAGGTACTGATCCCCCGTGTAGCAGTAGGAACGGTTCGCTTTGGTGTCACACGAATACGGGTTGCCGCGTAGTTCCGATGCGACCACACCGCCATAACCATAGCGTAGCAACGACAGGGCCGGAAATATTCGTGGCACCGTCGGAAGACATATAAGAAAACCGCTCAATATGATACAATACACGTAATATATATTCTGAAAAAGCCACAGATCCTGCTCAAAAGGGTGCCAATAAACCAACAACAATGTCAGAGAGGCATGAGCAAGACTCGTGAGGCCCATTGTCAATGCCAGAGAAAGGGATGATGTTAATATGAAAGCAGTGCAACAAGCTGCAATGATTGCAAAAATAGCCCGAGTAAGAACAAGACGAAGCACGGTAGCCGTAAAGTATTGTAAGGTGTCAAAGTAATTGTTGTTTCGAAGATGTACAGCTGAAAAAAACTCCCTCACTTCCGTGTCAATTAAAATTGTATTCACCTGCATTGAACATGACACAAGAAAAAAGACAACCCCTCTTTTGTTTTGCATGGCATTTTGATCGCTTCCTGATCCCGCTATCAGGGAGGCCATAAGAAAAAATAAAAGAAAGAGAGTAATCCATGAAACAAGAAAGCTCCGGTGCTCAATGGTGGCGCGCCGGCATGTGTGAGCAGTCAGCAGGTACCATTGAAGAAAATAATTTGGTGAGGGCGCAGCAGCATGCAGGACAGGGTCAAAGCCGTTCAAAGCAATGCTTTTCCGGTGGTCTTCAACCTGACGTTGAATTCGACGGTAAACTGCGCTGCTTTTAAATATGTCCGCTACACGAGGTGAATCCCCTTTTTCATCGAGTGCCACTAACAGTTCCCCAAGGGATTCATCGCCCATACTTTGAACACAACTTTGCTCCCGCAGGAATTCCTCCACCCCCGCCTTTGGGCCGGAGTACAGAAGGTGTCCTTTTGCTCCAAGCAGCAAAATATTGTCGGCAATATCAAAGAGTGCACGATGAATCTCCGTCGCTGACACGACAATAACTCGCCCGCTACTCCCAGATAAACCCCGCAACACGGAGACAAAACCATGGAGTTCACCAGAAGAAAGACTTCTCATTGGCATATCCAAAGCTAACAACATCGGATTGCGCACAAGTTCCATGCCCAAAGTAAGCTGATAAAGCTGTGAAGGACTTAGTTTCTCTGTCTTAACATCGAGCAACTGGTCAAGATGCACTGCTTTAGCAACTTCCTTTACAATACGATCCTCTTCCAAAGTTTCCACACGCATACGCACCGAGAAAAGAAGGTTGCGACGTACTGTGGCATCTCTTAAACACACCCCAGTAGACGTGATAAAGGCAACTCGCCTACGAAAAGCAGTCGATACAACCGGAAGTTCATTAGCCATAACTGAACCAGACGCTCGCTCTTCAACACCCGCCAACACCTCAAGCAACTTGCGAGAGCACATTTCGTTGGCACTCAATACAACAACAACAGAGCCAGCGAGAAAATAACCAGACACATTTCGCAAAATCAAACGGGGCGACCGAAAAATAGAAGCTCGTCCCTCCAAAGACACATTTTCAAAAGCAATTACAAAACCACTTTTCGCCTGCGCAATAACATCTCTTGATCGCAAAAAAGGTGATCCCTCCCCTAATGGTGTCGTCGTACTGCTGCAATCTGGACCGGAAGTGCTCACCGCACAAGCCGATTCTGGCAGCATGGGTCCTAATGGAGGCGATGCATCCGGTAAAACGGCAGCTGGCAGTTCGCCCATAGGCACAGCTAATGTACTATCATCGTCGGTGGCATTGGGCTGCTGAACTTCTCGTTGGTTCCGAAAGTGCCGCATGAAAAAAATAAAATTTTAAATTTTTGTACTACGAAAGGAAGAAAAAAGCAAAAACAATAAAAAAAAATAAATCCGGATATATGTATAAATTTACAATAAACACACAAATAAAACGAACAAACAAGAAAAAAAATAATAATAATAAATAAATAACGGCATTTAAAAAATTGCAAATGAATTTCGTATATGTTTTTCTTCTTTTTTCCTCTTTTTGTGTGTGTGTTCTCCTTTTCCCTGTATTGCCCCTTATTTTTTGTTTCTTCTTTTCATGGCATGCATGTAACGTTTTACCCCTCAATTTTGTTAGAGATAAATAAAGAGGACATGGAAGCATTTATCCGCAAAAAAAAAAAAAAAGAAAAAAAAAAATGCGTCCAATGGATTTTAAAAGCCCTAACATCCCACCAACCGGACAGGCATCCGCACCACGTCAAAAGTGGCCATGAAAACCCAAGGCCAGCCTCCATCAATTATTTACATGCCTTTTATTATTGTCATGCTTCATTGCCGTATAATGAAAGCACGCACCTCAGTCCTATCCTTTTTTCCCCCCAAATTTCTACCTCCGCGTTGGTTTTGGTACACGCGGAGGGTGCGGTAGGCGGCAACTCGTTTCGGTTCGTTCGGCTGCAGGCATTTCCGTCTCGTCCTCATGAATCTCGGCGGATATTCTGCGATCGATATCTATCAGCACGTCAGCATAATCCTCAAGACGCCTCATTGATGCATAGAACTCACGTTCGGATTTGCGGTATTGCTCGGTACATTGCCTAAACCTCTCGTGGAGGCGGTCCCAGAGCCGTGTGAGGGCTGCCTCAGCCACGTCCAGTTCTGACAGCTTCTGCTCCAAATCGGCAATTTGCACGGTGGAGTCGTGTTCCTTGTTTTTGACCAAAATGCATGCGTTTTGCAAGCAATCCTGAAGAATTCCAATCCGTTCATCCAAGCGATCTAATTCTTGCGGAAGACGATGCTCGCGATACATGAGTTTTTGACTTTCTACCCCCTTTTGCTGCAGTTTTTCCCCTTGCAACGTGTCAGCAGAAAGTGCATTCACACGATGCTTTTCTCCCTCTGCCATTCCATCATCCTCCTTTGTGCTCGAAGCCTGAATCGACGGCACACATACCCCTTCAATATCCCCTCCTGTGACCGATCGCAGGGGAAAAGAGGACACCGAATCACCCCAATCCCCTGTTCCCTGTTCATTTGTTGTTGGCGTGCTCGCAGTGGCCGGAGTGCTGCCGACCAAAGGCTTTGGGCAGCTTCTCACTTCGCTCTCATGAATTGGAGAAGTCCCATGAAAGAGGACGTTGGATGATGCATGACTATTGCTGTGGGTCAAGTTGGGCTTCTCATTCTCAATTGCTTCTTCCAAAGGAGTGCGCACGGACGTCTGATCCTCCGCCCGGGCCGATGGTGACAATGGCGGCACATCCGAAAGATCAGGGAGTGATGGATTTGCCCCGCCCGTGGAGCCCGCTGTTGTTTCCACGGATGCGGAGACTGGCGTTAAAATTGGATTTGAAGAGGCCACACCATGGGGTTTCCCCACCGCAGCAACTTCAAGAGACCCCTTGCACTCGTTTCTCATCTCTTCATTGTTTTGGGGTCGAGAGGGTTTTGACACATATCGAATATAGTGCTGAAAAACTGGCGGTCCACTCAGCCGCAACACACCTGAAACGATCGTTGGAGAGTCGACATCCTCGATAAGAAAAGGAATCTCCTTCACACTTTCATACGAGTTCGTCTGTACTTTCAAAAGAGAGAGGGTAAACAGTGAGATTGGTGTCTCCCTACCGTTTTCTCCACACTTGAGAACTGACAACGTAAACTCACGCGATGCCAATGCCTGCAACGTCCCTTGAAAAAATACTTCTGGTAGTATTTCATTATTCCATGTGACAGAACCCAACTTCGATCGCACCATCCCGCTACGCATATCGACGGTACTAGAGGAGAGCACATACCGTAGTTTGTACTCACCGCTTTCAAGACCGGAAGCACGCAATTCGCTTAACTGCATTCTAAAATCACATATTTGATCCATAGTAATGCACACGGAAACTCTACCCAATATTCTATTTTCAGAACCCGCATCGGAAACTCTCAGTGGAAACTCATATTGGGCGGTGACATTTCTTGCCAAGGACAGCAGGTCTATTGAAGCAACTCCCACCAGTGAGCCGTGACTCGAATGGGCGTCCATGTCAGTCTGTTGTTCGACGGCGTTAAGACAGATGATTTGAAAGCAGACACTGCGTTGACTAAACGTTGCGGCAAGGTCTTTCAATGAAGGAGCCTGAATACGATATTTGAAAGAGATTGGTTTAGTTTTTTCTGCATTTCGTGATGCTGAGGGCAACGAAAGATCAACTGACTTGCCATCAAACAGAAGGCGAAACAGAAGCGTGCCGTTATGTAGAACATCTCCCCCTGCATCCTGAGAATAGGAAAACGAGACACGATCCAAAATGACCCTAAAAAACCATGCATTCATGCTGGGGTCTCACCAACAAAGCTCAATCCTTCTCCCCCCCTCCCCAACAGCAATTGCTCCCTATTGCAGTATGCATTCGCCTTGCCAGGGTAAATCAAAGGAAGAGAAATTAAATAACAACAACAAAAAAAAAAAAAAACAATAATAAAATCATGAATAGACAAAAAAAGTAAGAGGGTTGAAATATCAATAAAAAAAAAAGCGTCTTCCAATACTCCCCCATAATAATTGGAGCTAAATAACTCACCTTGGAGCTTTATCCAATTAATTGTCTATCCCATTCACGGTGGCGGAGGAGGAGGAGGCAATTTCCGAGGTGGCGGCGGTGGTGGCGGTAATGTTGCTTGCAATAACGGTTGAGAAACGGCCACGTCGTTCGCAGGTGACGCTCTGTGGGATGGTGATGGCTGTGCGGACGAAATACCAGCTGGAGGAAACCGCACTTGGACGACATCTCCAGATCTCAAAGCCGATGGAGACGGTGGCGTTTCAACAATAGCTTCATGCACAGCGTGGTCTCCATTTACGGACGACTTCGAAGTTAATGGAACTGCGGACCTCAATCCGGGGGATGGCAACAGTGAAGACACTCGTCCTTCGGCTCTCTTTTCGGTATACCCATTTTCACAAGAGGCGTATGTTCCGGCCTCATTTTTCGAGGGAAGGAAAGTTTTTGGCTCTGATATAGCATCCTTGGGAGTAAAGGAGCGTTCACGCAACTGATTTATAAAGGTGGATGAACATCGTCGATTTAACCGCAATTTCCACTCCCTTGATTTGGCCGTTCCGTCTTTTTGGAAATCGTCTAGTGTCACTTCAGGTTCCAGCAACATGTCAAAGTTCAGGAGGACGCGTTGGGCCGGTGTCAAGTGCCTAAAATTTCCCAACAATACTTCTTCTTGTTGATTTTTTTGCTCGCTCTCACGCTCCACGGCCTCCTGTAAGACACGAAGTTCTGTTCTGGTCCTTTCAAGATCGCATGTCTTTTCCTTCAGTTTTCTAAGCAAATACGCCTCTCGCCTCCCGGGACCCGCTTCATCAGCAACAGCAGCAGCAACAACACTATCCTTACTATAGTCACAATTAACACCTCTGTTATTGGTGTCTGGAACGCTGGATGTTTGCAGGGGATCGTGTAGATGGTGCAAAATGCCTGGATGCAAGGGGTCCAGATAAGTGAGCGGAGGGCACGCCGATTCATTTTTGAGCAGCTTCCCTATGGCCATGGAATCATCTCTACTGAGAGAAATATTTCCCGTCTGCTCAGTTAAGTTCCTCATGCCTGTCAAGAGCAAAATCGTGTTCCCCTGAAATTCCTTGGCAGGTACGACAGAAGATACATTACACTCACCTTTTTTGGTGCCTTGACGCATCAAATCAAGAAACTTGTTTCGTCGGCATAAAATCGATGAAGCCCTTTCAACAGACCTCTCATGGGCAGTATCGTATTGCCGAAGTTCCGGAGAGTGTGTTGACTTTTTATACGATAATCCAGTCACAGGACGCTTTGACGCAATATATTTGTTTAGGGGAGACAGAGGGCCCTCGTCTTTCTTCTTCTCATCCAACACCTTTTCAGCAGTTTGCCTCTGCCATCCAGTTTGCAGGTTGTCTAGTAGTAACGCAGCATCCGCACTGGACACTCCACTAATTTCAATCTCATCGCCGTCTTGCATCTTCAACAAAACAACAGAAAACGGATGCGCGGACCGTGTATGTAGGCTGCTCCTTGAAATATCTACAGGCATTGCTTGGAGTTCGTGTCGTGAGCGTTCCCCTTCACATATTCCCATACTTAAGGTCTCTTCCCTTTCCGGTCTTATTGTGATGGAGGCAACGTCTTCCAACGCTATCGTATGCTCCCGCGACATCTCCTCTTCTCCTTTTTTAAGACACGAAATAAGGGTCACTACGCTGCGCTCACACAGTATCATCCCCATCGCTTTACTTTGTGAGAAATCATTTGAGCCCGCTGCTTTATTTCCACCCCGATCTGTTGATGGTGGTCGCTTAAGCAATGGTTCACACGGCATATGCTCAACTCCACATTGTCTCATTCTATTCAAGGAGAGAATAAGGAAAGAAGGACAGTGAAAAGAATACCCTCTCTTGACACCATCACGAGGCACGGATAGATGACTCGACCACCCCGAGAGTCAAGTCTGCCCCAGCAGTAATATATATATATACATATATATATATATAAAGAATAACCTTCACTTGGTTGGGACCCAAGCGGAAACTCCTCCCATCTCGCACCGCAGATTTTGCATAGAATGCATTGCTTCTTCTTGAGGGCATGAATAATTCGCCGTCTCTCGTAAAATAAGGAAAGGGTGCAGATCCGCCGGGTACCGCTCCTTTGGGTTTTTTTTCTGGTCCAAACTTATGGCGGTCCCCCTCAAAGAAACGCCCGATAATGATGAGGGATTCAAATTGGATTCCCAACGCAGAAAAGCTCGGATTTGCTTACGATTTGTGTTTAAATGCGGTAGCGCTCTCTGCAACGAAATAATAGACACGGAAGCCAAGGCAGGGGTGAAACCTCTCAATGGCCCCGAGAAGTGGATACCTGAGGCGGTTTCTTTGGAGAAAAAACACACGCGTCAGACAAAAATAATTAAGAATAAAATAAAAACAATCGGCATCGCATCACGTACAAACCAAAACTCCACCATCTACACCTTTTCTTTACTCTCCATTTAAAGTCCTGTCTTTTTTCAAGGATGCTCTGGCAACACACCATCGGTTCAAGCACCCATGATTCCAAGAAGCATCGCATTGTTCAGCGGTAACTATCGATGTTGCTAGAACGCCAATCTGCAATGAAACAACGACAGTCTCCGACCGCACCAGTTCACAACAAAGACCCTTCTCCAGCGATATAGATCCACAGTTACAAATGCGTCCATTGCCATGGCCTATACAATGCCTTGTAAACAACGTCACAAAAGCAGCAGCCATACGCACCCGGAATAGGGTACAGGCCGTGCAACTGCGTTGGACAGATCAATTCGGGTTTCTTGTCCATGTCTTCAGTGTCCAGGACTCTGACCTGGCGTTTTGCTCTCAATTTGGACTAACACGTCCATTAAATACCACGACACGGCCTCTAGAGGTTGAGGAAAGCCTCCAATATGCCCAAATGTAAAAAAAAAAAAAAAAAAAAAAAACCGTTTTCCTTGGATAATGCCAGGGTAAAGTCGCTGCTTCAATCCAAGAAACTTTTTAAATTACTTCCGAATGTGGGGTCATTCTCATAGAAAAAAAACAGACTTCGCAAATGCCAGCACCAATCATTTTAGTATGGCGCCGGTCACACCCAATTTTCACGGAGAAACGCAGTTTCCTCATTCGACACCATTGCGAAGGATGTGGGTTCATCCACCTGCCGCTTCATGGCTGTTCTATCAAAGTCAAGCGCCATGGTGCGTGTGTGTTGGGCTCCAAACCCCGTGTCTTGTGCGAAAAATGAAAGCGCTTCTTTTTTTCCTTTCTAACGGCAGGACTTCTCCATCCCCTTCTCTTTACAGTTCCTTTTGGCACGTTTGTGTTGAGTTGCGGATGCCGGTACGTACCGGGAGTTGGAAGTAGTGGACGCAAGCTGAAAGCAACAGAAGCTGATGAAGAGAACAATACATGGCACATAAGTACATTACCCCCAACACCACCACCATCAACAACAACAAGAAAAAACGAGGCAGATGAAGAGGTCCTCAATGATATTTACAACAGTCCGCACCCTCAAAACAAAAAACAAAAAAAAAAAAGCAGGAAGGTAGGTAACCACGCATGTAGAAATAAAACAGTTGGCACGTCTCCCCAACAAATATACCCATTAACAACATATATTTTTTTCTTTCGTCTGCGCTCAAAAAACCTTCCCCGTATACCCGTCAACAAGCACTAATAATAAATAAATACATAAATACGTCGCGAGGCATATAGATATAAAAATATAGATTTGTGTCACCGCATTGGGCTTACAAGGGATTATAATACGGAGGTGGAGGTGGTGAATAACGGGGTCCACCCATGACCGAATCGTAGCTGGGCGGTGCGTCCACACCCGCAGAATCCGATGGTGGTGCAGATGGAGGAGCGTCAAAGGCTGCCGCCATTTCGCGCTGCCGACGCAATATTTCCGCCATGCGTTCCGCTCGTTGTGGTTCAGACTGTTGTTGTTGCTGTTCGAGTAATGCAATCTGACCACGGAGTTCATCTTGACGCCGCCGTGACTCATTAATGGCATCCATGCTTTCTTTACTTTGTTGCATCTCCGAAATCTTTTGCGCAATTTGTGCGTCGAGCGTCGCCCGTAGACTTTCCGCCTCCAACTTGCGACACACCGTGAGGGACCTGGCACTGGAAAGGGTAGACTCCAGCCCGTCCAACATGGAGGACGCGTATCGCATGATGTCCCTAAACTCCTGACGGAGGTCCGTGTAAACAGAGCAGGCGTTCTCCAATCCATTACACACCTTCTGTACTTCCGCCACCATGGGATCTGAGCTCTGAAGAACACCAATACTGTTCACAACCTGCTCCACCTCTGCCATGATTTGTTCTTCCTCTCTCATTGTCTCATTGGCACGCTCGATGGCATCACTGATTTTTTGGGCCGCCCCATCCAAGACAGCACTGCGCTGACTAGCCTCTACAGCTGAAAGACCAAACGTCACATCATCTGACTCAATAAGTTCATTCAATTCTCGCAGTCGAAGGTCCTGCGTTTCTTCTGTTGTACGTTTACGTTTAGTCAAATTCTTAAGCACCTCCAATTGCTCAAGAACCCTTTCACTCTGTTTTCGGGCCTCTTTTGTTTCCACAAACGGCATAAGGGCATCCAAGTCTGCCATTGGCCAGTCCAGTCGCGCAAGATTGCGGAGGCTTCCCTCCAGCAACGTTTTGGCCTTTGTGAATGGATCCACAAACCATTGCTGAATCCCCTTCTCATGCTCCTGAAGTGCTGCCCTAATAGAAATGTACTCTGCAACTTCATTTGAAGGACGACGCACGCTGCGCCACATGCGCTCTCCATATGCAGTCACATAGGCCTCATCTTCCTTGCGTTCCGCCTCCAGTTCTGAATTCACCTGCTCCAATTTCCCCCTGGCAGCAACCCAAAGTTCTTCACATGTTTTCACACTGGATACCAACGATTCCACAAGACTTACTGTCATGCCTTCATCACTCTTGTGAAGGGATTGAATCTTCTCACGAAGCTGCCTTGGAACTTGTCCACGGCTCTTGGATTCACCCGACAAAATCTCAATTATCGCTGTCACACCAAGCGCTTGCCATCGTTCGTTGAGCTTATTACGCGTGGATACGCAGGATTTATAACAAACAGAGACGAGATTACGTTCCTTTTCACGCCATTTTGAGGCGATGGAAGCAATATGCGCCGGAACAATGCCAAAAAATGGGTCTTCACCACGCTTTGACTGGAAAGTCGTAAAACCCGGGTGTTCTGTGGCCTTTCCAAGAGGACGAGGAAGACCACTCGGTGCCTCCACTTCCTTCGGCACGCGCATAAAGTATACCGACTCATTTGCTGCAATTGCCTTCTCATGCTCCTTGTTTACATTGGCAATGATGCCGTTGATCCAGTTGCGGAGCTCATTTGTGGATAATTTTGGTATGTCCGTCAAATAGCTCTTCGCCTTCTCAAAATGTGCGATTGCGGTGCCAATGCATTCTGTATCGGCCATCGATGTGGCAAGATGCAGATGAGAACGCGCATAAAACACCGTCCCCATCGTTGAAAACAACTGTTCAATAAGTACCACTGAAGAATTCCGTTTGCTCCCTGTATACCACGCACTTGATTTAATGGAACTTGCCACCTCCTCATACTGCCTTCCACCTTCCCGCGCAATTTTGGCCAGCATGGAATGATTTCCCTTCATGTCATTTTCTGCCTTCAGGTACGCGGAATGATGCGCCATCACAAGACACATTCGACGAAGCAAATTCAGTGCTTCCGACGTTAAGTCGCCCTTGATATGCTCTGGTGGAAGTCGCTTCAGAAGATTTTCCACCATTTCATAGTACCCTGCCGCATTCTGAAAACTCTTGAAGGCACTCTTTACATCTCCCACCGTCCCGGTCTGCGCTTGATGTGCCCCAACGTATGCCCAGGATGCGGCGAGGTTATAGATGCAACTAATCAATTCAAGATTGCCATTCATTGATTCGTTCTTCTGATTATCATCAAAACTATCCCGCCACACAAAAGTCATGTTCTTATGCACTTGCGCCCCATGCAACGGAAGATGCGCCTGCGCCATCGCCACAAGCTGACAATATGGCTTTAATGTATGCTCAATGAACGTTTCAGTTGGTGGGGCTTTGGTATCTGTGCGAAAAGTCTGCACGATTGTTTTGTGAAGGGTATTCATCCGCTTCAACGTCGCCTCAACGGCACTTGTGTTGTTGCTTGAGTGATTCACGCTGATGAATTTAAGACACAATTCCCAATCCGGCACTTCGTCTTTTCCACGTCGGAAGGGCAGTGTGACGAATTGGTCTGGCAGGTGCACAAGCGCAGCCATTCTATTTTTTTTTTTAATTTACGTGGCTTATATTACTGTATGTATGTTTTTATTTACGACTATTTCCCTATCCCACACTCTCCTTTTTTACTTTCCGCCGCTGAACTCCTCCTTCTGCGTCCCCCTAAGCCCCTAAAAAATAATCCCAGCCTGATTTAATCAAATGTGCCTTGTCCCACGTGTATTGGCACACCCCTGTGTGTGCGTGTGCGTGTGCGTGAAAGGAGTGGCGGAAAGCAGATGGAAAGCCGCACCAAAAGTTGTCAACAAAAATATATATATTTCGTGAAGGAAAGGGCAAAGGCAAATTAAGCATGAAAAGCAATAAAACGGCCGTAACAACAGTGTAAGGAAAACATATATATATATATAAAAGAAAAACGTTGGAGATCATATTCTTTCCGTATCTTACATCGTCCATGACGGATGTGTGCGTGTGTGTAATCGTGCCGGCAATTACACATGCCAACAGCACCCTACATGATAGAAGGAACAACAAAAGTGGCACGCAGAAGAAGAAATGAACGGAAAGAATTCATGAAGTACATAAATGTATGTACGCACGCCACTCTCGCAGAGTCCCACGTTTATTCCGAAGATTTCTTCACAAAATTCATGATGTCCCTCCCTTTGCTGCCCATCCTTTGAGTGTCCATGAGCCCATGCGTGTAATCTTCCGCTGTTCTTCTTCCCATACATAATACACACACACACACAAGCGAACACGCAGAAGCACCTGATTTCTTTCATAAATTTCCTTCAGTCGGAATCTCGTTCCTGCCTCTTTTGTTTTTGCTACTACTTGGCGTTAGCCCTGCCAACCTCCTCCTCCTCTTCTACCATGCTGTCCATATCCATCTCCTCTGCCTCCGGCAGCGGCTGCGCCACCTTGTCCAGAAATTCCTTGTCGCGGTGGTGGTCATAGGCGTAAAAGTTCTCATCGAAGCTTTCATTGGACCACGCGGCCTTTTCCTCCGTGGGATTCACAGCAGGAGCTGGGGTTTCCAACATCTTCGGAGCACCAGCACCATAACGGTCCCGTTCTCGCACTCGTTCCGACCAACGCCACTCATAATAGTGCACACGGCGCACCTCGCGCTCTAACATCGCACGGAAGTGCCTTTTCTCACCACTCGGTCCCCGTGACAAAACCTTCGGCAGTGCATACCAGTGAAATGACCCAACACTTGTGCCAATGGCGACATACTGTACATAGTGTGGGGGAAGTGTGGGGGGAACGGGCTTAAAGTTGATGACGGTAATTGCATCCTGCACAAGCTGCTGAACAAGCAGCGGCTCTCTGTTTCTATCTAACAGATCCCATACCAGAATCTTCCCATCCATTGTGCCCACAAAAACAATACTGGATCGTAAAGGAGTCCAACAAGCGCAGGTGACAGGCGCATCATGTTGCGATGAAATAAAGATTGGATGACTCAAACCCAGGCGCCAAAGTTTAAAGTGAAGGTCACCACACGACAAATAAACATCACTTATGGTCGGATGCCGTTGTATACTGTAGACTGGTCCTGAATGCCCCTTGTTCAGGAGTCTTACGAAACGGGTTTCGTCCGCCTGGGTTGAAAATTCCCGCCGCTCATCCGGTATGAGCGTATTGCACATTGCAATCTCCCCAAGTGTGGTGCCACAGACAGTAACGTACGAAGGGGTTTCACGAAAGTCAAGGCCATCCACATAAAAACGGAAGCCCATCAAATCAATACCTCCACCAGGCCGTGACAACTGATATCGCAGCAATGGGACCCACGGAACCTCTTCGCCGCCCACGCGACTCTGGTGTTTTATCTTGCGAAGCTTATCAGGGGGAAGGTAATCAGGACGAATGTCCCAAACACACATGTACCCGTCATCGCTTAGCGAAACAAACTGTCGTCCCTCGTGTGTCACAGTTTGTTTCCCATCAAACCCACACTCCAGGCCGTTAAGCATCCATTGAATAGCATGCACAGGACGTCTATGCGAAAGCTCGACTCGAGAAATTTGCACCGGTTGAAGGCGAGGCACGAGTACATCACCATCCCGCTCCATACTAACTCCCTTCACACTCAACGCCATGGGAGGGATTTCTTTTGCCCCGGGCACGGTTTTCAATAACTTATTTTGATCGTCCGCATGATCCACCAACAACTTTTTGTTGGTGGCCGTGGCTGTATCCATCCGGTTAAGGTCCCAAAGAAATATTTGCCCATTCATTGCACCACCTACTATGTAGTTTGGCCTTAGAGGATTAAACTGAAGGACCTGGATTTCCACCGGCGCCTCTAAGAAAGCCCGTGGATGCATGGGGTCTGCAAAATCCCAAAGGAGGTTGATGACAGTTTCACATCTTTTTTCTGCCTCAATGCGTTCTTCCAAATTGTGTCTTGAAATAGAGGCCATACAAACAAGGTCATCCTTGGGACGAAAACTTCGCCAGCTGATTGAAGAAACTCGAAGATCCTTCATTGTAGTGTGCGTATAGTTGCCCTTTTCAATTAGGACCGTGTCATCACGGGAGCCCACAATCGCATCATCTTCCGTAAAAAGACTAAAGTCATCCTGGTAAATGGGCACCTCGTGGTTTTGCAGCAAACAATGTAACATACGGGGAAGCACTTTGTTAAGGAAGGCCGTCATCTTGGGATCTTCGGTCTTGGGGACCGTTATGTTATGAATACACGCATCAACAAGGGTGGGCTGTACCTGAATAGCGGAATCAACCTTTCGAGAAAATGACGTCTGTGACGCCTCGTCCACAACCGGCAAAACCGCCTGCACTCCGGTTTCCACTTCATTCCTCGACACTTCATACATGGTGCTCGTTGTCCCGCGCTGATCACGACTATCCTCACTGGCTTCCTTCGTCAGATAACTCGTGTGAACCATTCGTTGAAGTAGAAGAACATCACGACGCACCTCAAACGAAACACGCACCTGTGGCCGCTTCTTCACGTTGTAGCCATTTTCCTCAGCAATTTCATTTTCACTACCAAGACTTTCCCATGTTCCCTTGGGGACAATCGTCTTAAGGTTCCTTGCCAGGTCTAACAGTTCATCGGATATCCAATCTGCAGAGGATACACTTGCACGCTTTTCATGTCCTCCCACTGTCAAACCGAGAAATAGACTCGAAGTGCCGCCTTCACTCACCTGCGGTCTGTCCCCCGCCGAGGGCCCCCACAGGCTCGTGGAGCCGGGGGGGGGATCAGAAATATTCGTGCTGTTCGGCATAATCGCCTATTTCCCCCCTGGTTTCCCTCTTTCTTGGGTCAATGTAACAGAACAACCAACAAAAAATGTAATTCTTTAAAATATGCCCTTCCGTTTACCTGATTGGGCGATTGTGTGTAATGCACCGCTTAGATGGATTGCTTCTTATGCACCCCTCCCCCTGTATGGAAGCATGTAAGTGTTTCATAAAAAAAAAAATTACATAAAAAGATGAAAAAGAAGCGCATAGACGTCAAATCACGATATGATTGATATTGTATGCGTGTATGCACGCGCATATACACCGGATTGAATAGAAGGATTCATGACAAACTCCCGGGGAGAGGCATCAAAATTTATAGGAAAAAAAAAAAAAAAAAAAGAATTATACTTTGATGATGTTATCCTCACCTTGCTTTCCCATGGCAATAAAAAGAAAGCTCTGCGTTGATGGGAAACGCAAGGAGAACAAATCAACATAAAACACACACATTCAAACACAAAAGGAGTGGGTGCAGTAAGGTCACACCTCGTCTTCTCTCTCTTTTCTTTTCTCTTCCTTTTCTTTTTTCTTTTTTTTGCTTTTTTTTAGGTTTCGCGAAGTTGGAGCAAAAAAAAAAAAAAAGGAAGATGAGGCGGCCAAAAAGAAAGAAATCTTCAAGGGAAGAAAGGATGTAAGTGAAGATGGACACATACACAAACACACAGACACACAGAGATAGAGAGAGCCAGACAGTCCTATACATACATACATACATATGCATTTATATAAGAACAACAACAAAAACCAGCAACGGAAAACTAGAAGAGATAAAACAAAACAAAAACCAAAAAAAAAAAAAAAAAAAAAAAATCATGTCGTAAAGAAATAACCCCGCAGCGAAGATCCGGACCGAAGAGGGGGAGAGTTGCAAACAACAACAACAACAAAAAGGGATCTCCTCATTTTCCCCACTTTTTTTCTTCTGGGTCGTTTTGTGCATTTTTGTTTGTTTGTCACCGCAATGAATGTGGAGGCGTATTGCCTCACTCCATCAAAGTTCTCGCCCCGTCCACACACACACACACGAGACAACACAGAGGAAAAGGCGCCAAAAAAAAAAAAATCACCAAAACAGCCTATATCACGCATTTTTTTTTTTTTTTTTTTTTGTATCTGTAATCAGTACTGTGTGAAATTTAACCTGGCACCATTCCTCACTTTACACTTCTTTCAATTTTTCTTTCCGTTGGGCCCTGTTCCTCGTCGTCTCCTTGATAAAAATACATTTCTCTGTGTGTGTGTGTGTGTGTGTCTATGCGTGCGACTGCCCTTCTTACTTTCTAGCCTTTTTTTTATTCCATTGCCGTCTGTTCATCCTTTTCCTTTTCTCATCGCCTCCCGCCTCCTCATTTTGTTGAGGTGCTCGAGACCGCCCCACTCCTCTCTCTTGCCATCCCTTACAGCCAACCTTTTTTCATTCAATAATCTCTTTTTTGTTTGTTCCTCCCCCCTTAATTACCCTTACTACTTCCCGGTGCTGTGGGGGGTGAAGATAAACTTCATTGCCGGCGGCAGGCCAGCCTCTTTCACGAGTTTCTTCTCAATCCTAGCAACAGCCTCGCTGGCGGAGGCGTCACGCAGCCAAAGGGCGATGCGGTTATGATACTTGCGCCTTGACAAGACCAACCCCATGATGTGATCGCCGTCCGGCTCCGGGTCAAGGTACTCTCCCACCATAGCCATGAGCAAATTTTCCCACATGGTGTCCAACTCCGGTTTCTTCTCTGTCTCTTGTTCTTCCTTCTTGGCTTTGGCATTTTGATTGCTATTGCTGTTGTTCGTGGCGGCGCTTGCATTGTCTTTCTCCCCACCTGCGGCACCACTCGTGTTGGCATTTTCCCATTTCCTTCCTCCGACATCGCCAACAGGCTTATCATCCAGGCTTATCCACAGTTTTCCACCGGCTTTGTTGCTCGGATCCTCCCACATCGGTTTCACACCCTCGCGGAAAAAGTGATATTGGGCCGAAACACGAAGTACATGGGGTGGCTTGCAATAATGCAACATCGTAAAGAACTCCTCCACTGTACGGACCGTGATCACCTCCACAAGAGACAACTCCCACCGCTCACTGTCGTATGTGGAAAGAGAGTCGTACCACAACGTCCACGAGGAGTTCAGCGGGTGCTTCTTTGATCCCGTGTCCAAGCTGCGAGGAACAGCCAATTTCGTCTCCGCAACATCTTCGCCAGCACCGCTCTTGGAAGCAGCAGGATTTGCACCCGCCTCCTTCGACTTCACGTCCGACATCAAAAGACTTCTGCAGAATACAGAATAGGCAGAAAACTTAATCAAAACAACTAGCAAAGTAAAAAAAGAAAGAAACACAATAGAATCCAAAAGGATCCCCTCGCCCCACGTTCTCAGCCACAGTATATGCACATGGGTAAGGAAAAAAAAAGAGTAAAACGCATCCAACTCCCGACAAAAAACAAAAATAAAAATAAAATAATAACACTTTTCCCCCAAAAACAAAACAAAACAAAACAAAAAAAAAAGAAAAACACACATCACCATCCTTTGTTCCAATCTCCCATTACGTCCAGAGATGCTGAGCAATTTTAACCATATTTAAGGACCTTCGTCCAAAGAAATTCCTCAAATGCCTACACCAAATGTGAACATCAATCAAGGCAGAACCTCAAGTCAATACCTGCGTTACACTCACCCCAACCCATCCTGCGGTCATGACCACAGGATAAATTTCCTTGAGCCGCAAATAACAATGTACCCTCAGTTATTTTCCTTCTGCCATATCTTTTTTGCCCCGTCAGTATTTTCGTTTTTTTCTGAAACTTTTGTTAACAAATGAAAAAGTAGGTTATGCACCGGAGCTGTCATGATAATCGCCAGGCTTGATTTATGGCTTAACACGACAAATATATACTTTTTATTTCAGTAGAGCTCCCACAAAGCCGCATCACACCCATGACGCCAAAAATTCACTTAAGTCAAAAACTTTATTCATGTCACCTTAAGGCCGTCAGAAGCATTCATTGTTACGCGTGCCATGATCCTACTTTTCTCTCTGTATCTTCTATCGCATGCCTCACACCCACCTTCGTCCCAGCCCAGATTTAATGAGGAAGGTCTAGGCGTTCGGTATGTCTCCTTTGTCATTCTTTTGTCTTTTTTTGTGTGTCGTACGCACGTCGTGTTGTGTTGCGCGGCGTGGCCGGCGCCTCGCTGACGGTGTGTGCATGGAGGCAGCACGGGAAAGAAATGCCGGACATCGCAGCGTTAGATGGTCCCTGCCGCCACGCGGGATCATATAAACTCGGCGCCGCCCCTGCGTTGGTGTGCGAGCGGCCCGCCCAGCGCCGGCAACACACACCGCAACAGCCATCAACAATCAGACGTCCCCTCGTCGGGGCACACACGCGTCAAAACAATGGGGACGAGCCGGCGCCGTGCCGGCCACACCCGACGTCACACGCCATCCTAAGAGAGAAGAGAAAAAAGGAGGGAAGAGGGGTGTGCCCAGCCACTCAAAGCCACAAGAGACGGGGCAGAGAGACATGCC